CCGCCGCCGCCGCCAGCTTCCCCTCCCCTTGGCATTGCTTGGCTTTTACTTTGCGCAGCTTCTTTTCTTGGCGGGCTGGTTGCTGGGAGGTGCAGTGGGCAGTGGCGGCTCCCGCTGCGAAGCTGGGGGAGGAGAGGGGCCCCGGCCAGCCACGGAAGGCGGCGAGAGTCGCTCGCTTCTGTGAGTTCTGCCGGTGGGGGGCCGAGGAAGGCTGTCGACCAGGAGAAGGCCGAGGTTGAGGAGGCCGGGGAGGGGTGATGATGGTGTTAAATGTGGCCGCGCAGCTCCCCGGGGAGCTGCCTGAAAGGAGAGTGCGCTCACCAGCTGACAGCGCGTGCTCCGCTCCAGACGCTCCGCACCGCGGCCAGGAGCCTCTGCCAGCCCCTCTATTGTCAACCGTTCTCTAATTAAGAAACACTCACATTACGGCAAACCACCCCCACGCTTCTTGGTTCCTGTCCTTTTCTTTATCTTCCCCCGACTACTCTCCTCCCCTGCCTCTCCCCTGCGTCCCGGGATTTAACCCATTCTCCGCTCCGTTCGCCTGTTCTTGTTAGAGGCCTAGCGGAAGGGAAGCTACCTCAGAGGTTGGCGTCTGGGACTCTGCTCAGCCCAGGGGTGAGGGTGTCTGGTCAGAGTCGAGTCCAAAACAGCGAGGAAACTTAAACTTTTATTGCATGCCCACCAGCCCCTTCTCCCCCAACCGCCCACCCCTTCTCACAAAACTAATGGCGAATAATTTAACTATTAGAGGTCATCTTCAACTCTCACCAGTACTTGCCGGTTTTTCCTGATTGCAATTGACAAGTCGAGATTGCAATTGACAAGTGTGTCTGCTACGTTCGTTTCCAGTTCTATCTGGGGTTTGAAGCTGCCAACGCCAAGTTGATCATCTCTTCTTGAACTTTCAAATGAGCAGAGGAGAGAAATAATCCCAAGATATCCTTTGATAAAAGATCGCTTACTTCGTTCAGGTTTCAATCTCTAAAATCAATTGAAAGGCCTAATGAAAGCATTGGTCCTGCATTAGTTAAGATTAAGGAAACCTACCCCCACCCCTTTTCTTCTTGTTACGCTGGACCCCCAGTTAACAGTGTCCCGTAGAGAACATATTTAAACTTGCCAGTTGCCAAAAATAATCTTTCTTCAGCTTTCTGTGAAATCAAGTAAGTTTCCCCAAGGGTGGCGAGCCAAAACCCTTCACGAATAAAAGTGGTGGGACGGAAGAAGGCAAAGAGGGGGTATAAAACAAGCCGCTTAAAGCACATAAAACTCTAGAAAGCACCAAGCAGTGTTGCAAAAGACTAACCCGATTTATCTATCTTCATTACTTTAAGAAATGCTGCCTCTTTGTTTGTTTGGGTGATATTAAGCATGCTTAACTTGCACACATAGTTGATTCCTTTGCTAGTATCTTGGATACTTGGATCTGACTTTGGAAGGTAGAAGCTAATTGCTAATAATGGAGAGAAAGGAACCAGTCAGCATGGCAGGAGTGGTCTGGCATATGGGGAATGAGCGCTCAGAAATACTCAATATTCAAGTTTCCAAAATATTAATGAGATTATAGCAACCTGCAGCTATATGTTACAGCTTGTTAATGGAGTGTAAGAGAGCGAGCTGCCAAACGTTTGTTATGCAAACTCCATAGCAGAACCCTAAAATGGAAATGTGATTGTACATCTCTTTCAAAGAAATGCCAGCATAAAAAGAAAGAAAGAGATAGAATGAAGGAAAGAAAAAAGGCCAAAGTCCTCATTTGAACTTTGAGCACTTAATTTACACAAAGTGATTTGGCTTTTTGTGCACTTGATGAATTAGAAGAATACATCCTCACTTTTCAAGCAGTGTGATATAGAATTTCCAATCTAAAATTGTCTTGTGGCTGTTTTCTCTTGAGGAGAAATGTAAAGTGACTTTCTTAAATGAAATTGGCATCATCCCTAATTCAGACACAATGCCCCTAGCATTTAAAAGTCCAAATACCTATTTTTGTGGTGCAAGACTAAACGCTCAACATTTGCATAGCTGTTAACTCCTTTCCACGGATTTTCTTAGAGGAAAAAAAATCTGTGGGTACATTGACCTAGTGGATGGGAGTCGTAAGATCCAGTTCTGAATATTGACACTTCATGACTGTGTAATTTTGGGGCAAGTTAGGGGCAGTGGTTTTTTCATATATAAAAGATGGGAAGGAAGATACTCTTGATGACATTTCTGTTTTGAAATTTCTATAAGACCATGAAAATGAAAATAATAACTTTGGAAGGTTTTTCTTTTCCTGGTTAACACAAAATGAACATAGATGGTTTTGAAAAATGAAATAAAGATCACTTTCTTTGAGAAAAAAGACTCACAACTTTAATTTTTCTCCATCCTGCCCTTACACTACTCAGATTCATAACAGGTAAAAGAATTCTAGGTCATCTTCTCTCTCTCTCTCTCTCTCTCTCTCTCTCTCACTCTCTCTCTCTCCACACATGTACACAAACATACCAAGCCACATAAATGAAACTATGTGTGCACTCATCCTGCAAAGTTGCTGTGTGTCCCTGCCTGTTGAGTTTGCTTTTTGAGAGCGAAGTGGAAATGTGTTAGAAGCAATCGCTTGATTTATTCAGCAGCCTGAAGATTCCTGATGTTTATCGTGAGCACGGCAAACTCGGGGGTGCAAAAGGTTATCTAAGGGACAGGTGCATTGTTTCTGCCCCTGGAAAGTGTCAGGAGCTGCCGCTCACCTCTCAAAGAGCTGGCGGAGGCTCTCCGCTTCCCTAAGCTTCGGCTTCAGCTGAAAGCCATTGAAACCCAGGTAGTCAGTCAAAAGCTGGTTCCACATTTCCCTCCCCAAGACCAGAACTGCGCTCCTTCGCGCATTACTCTTCCTGCGAAACTGATTTGTGGCGTTCTCCTCTTTTCAGGGTGGTGGGGGGAGATGATGATGCGGGACCGATTAAATTAGCCTCTCTGGCTCTCCTTCTCCAACACCCGCTTTCTTGTTCTCACAATTTGTTATCCTAATGAAGACACAAAATCTAAAGGATTTGGCTTAAAATCAACTTTCTCAAATTCAGCGATGTTTATCCAGTGGAACGTCGCCCAATCTTTAGTAAATAGTTCTACTCTCACGTTTGCCGAATACATTTTTAAAATTCGTCTTTCTACCACCTCCGCACACGCACTATATTAGCTTTGTCAAAATCTTTGATCCTGACACCCAGAATAGGCTTTTCCGTAGCGAGGACCCTGAGGTGAGAGTGAGCGTACTGTTTAGTTTCTGCACCTGACTCAGAAATATAAACATTTCTACAGAGGAACTGATTCAGAAAGACAAAATAAAACCAAACACTATCTTCTTTAGTGGAATAAGCAGAATTGTTTGGGAAAAGCGTAGAGGGCAACAATTTCCTAGGACAGCTGAAAGCTTTTCACTTTTGAAAGAACCCCATCCCCTTTCCCCTGAAGCTTTCCCTCCCCTCCCCACCATTTTGTCCTCTCTACTCCTCACCTTCTACACACCGTATTACCAAACCCCCCCCCCCATCAAAGGAAACAGAGGGAGGGAGGAGAGGGGAGAAGGGCTGGGGAGGGAGAAATTTGGGAAGTTTGCACTGTGTTTTTGACTTATGGCAAAAGTTTTCAACTCGGCTAAAGTTTTTATGAAGTGGAAATAGGTTATTATGGTAGAGTACTGATGAGATCTTAGGCGACCTGAAGCAGGTGCCTCCCCTTGCAGAGGTGGTTGGGGCCAGGAGTGAGGAAGACTGGAAAGATCCTGGCTATCCAAGAGGCAAAAGGTCGCAAATTTGGGGAAAAATTTTACCTTACAATTTAATTACTGACTTGATCACTTTTCTATGTAGGGTTTCAGGTACTACTTGAAGCGACAATGTCTATAACAGAATTTTCCTTCAAAACTCTAGATTCGCATTTAATAGACTAAGTCTTCAAGATCATTTAAAAACTGTTTTTAATGTTTACATCAGAACGGAATAAGTGACAAGTAAAGGTTATTTTCACGTTTATTTTTAACATTTGCAAAAGAAAATACATAAAACAATGGCAGTTGGCTTTGCTAAATTAAAATAAAATGATCTCGAGTAGAAAACGTAAAAAAATGAATCAAGATAAGTAGAAATGGTAGCAAACAATCAATAATAAATAAGTTTTCTAACATTAACAAAGCAAAATATAATTGACGAAATGCTTTGACACTACTGGCTTTTTTTTTAATTTTAATTTTTTAAACAAACATTTGCAAAGAGCTTAAAGGATTATAAGTGGCCGTGTCTAAAACAACAACAACAACACAAAACTGGTCTGCAATTGGCAGCTGAGTTTGTCCTGGAGCCGCGGCAGGAGCGGCTGATAAAGTGCGTGCGCCGTTTCCTAAAAGACGCCAACATTATCGCGATCCGATATACATACTGGGTATGTTTATACAATATATAAACCTAAGCGTTCCCTGTTTTCTAACCGTTCCATAGCCACAAGTTATTCACTTTGGAGCCATCAACTTTGCGTTTCATGATTTATTTTGAGACGACACTTCGGAATACTAACTCTCCCACACGTGAGTGCGGGCAACACACAGGGATGAATGCCCAGGGCATAAAATAAATTAAAACACAAACCAGCGACAGAGAAGAAAATGCGACGTTTTAGCAGCGTATTGGCAGCAGGGAACTAGAATAATGATGCCATATTTGGGTACATACAATTATACCTCATCTATCTACAGGGGGAGCGGAAGGTGGGAGAAAAGAACACAACTTTAACACCAAGTTTTCATCAAACAATGTGGACCCGAGGAAGTTTGGAATAGCGGCGGCTTTTGCAAACCATCAAATATAGCTGCCATATGAAGCCAAGTCGTTGCTAAACAACGACCATCGCAGAGCAAAAATTAAAAGGGTGCGGGGATCTTTAACGGCGGGGCTTCCCGCGCATTGGGAAAGGGCGATTTTGTTTCTGTCTCAGTTTTCAGGGTTTCTGTCAGCTTCCTAACTTGCCTCATCTGAGTCACTGTAATGGGAATGGGGGGAAAACTCCCCGTCGCTTCTGTGGGACCGGGGCGAAGTTTTGCTACTTTCCTCCTGCACTGGCTGCAGGATGCCCCCGGGCAGCGAAGGCGACAGGTTCTTTTGCGCCATCATCGCCGTCAGGGCGCTGTCCTCGAAAGTCGAGAAGTGCAGAGCGTCCAGCTGCACCGAATATCCTCCCGCGGAGGCCGAGGCGGGAAAGCGAGTCCGGCAGTTTCCGGGCGCCGTCGGCCGGGGGCCCCCTCCCGAGGCGGGCTGGGCCCCCGCAGCGGTCGCGGTGCCCGCGCCGCCCTCGTAGGGGGCGGCGGCGCGAAGATGGTGATGGTCGCTCTTGCAAGACGCTGGCGGCGGCGGTGGCTGCTCCCCGCCGCTGGGTGTTTGTAGCAGCTCGGACAAGGCGTTGATGTAGATCTGGGCCATCTGCAGGGTCTCATACTTGGACAGCTTCTTGTCGTTGTTGAAGGACGGGATAACATTGCGCAGCTGGTCGAAGGCGTGGTTCAGCCCGTGCATCCTGCGTCGCTCCCTGGCGTTGGCCGCCAGCCGCCTTTGCTTCTGCACCCCATTCACCTGTTTGCTGGAAGGGGCGCGCTGGCGGCTGCAGCTCAGATCGTCTACCACCACCCCGCCTTTCAGCTTGCACAGCTGTTCCCGCACTTTCACTGGTCCGGGACTCTTGCTGCTGCTGCCGCCGCCGCCGCCGCCGCCGCCGCCGCTCCTCCTCACGAGCTCCCCCCGGCTGTCCGCCTCCTCCCGGGGCGCCGCAGCCTCGGAGGCACCCAGCTCCGGGGAATGCAGCAAGTACTGGGCGGCGCGTGCCGTACAGATGCCCTGCAAAGTAGGAGCCAGCCAGGCGCGTGGGTCGGTGCTGTCCAGGAGGGACAGCTCGGCCGGGTACACGGGATGCTCTCTTGCCTGCAGGGTCGCAGGTGGCTGCGGCAGCGGCGGCTGCGGCAGGTGGTGCGGCTGGGGATGGCGATGGTGGTCCCCCAACTCCTTCACTTCAGCCCACTCCTCTGCGTGCAGCAGGCGGGACATTGCACTTCAGAGAGTCGGAGGCGCAGGGTCGGAGGAGGTACTGGCAAACCAGCCCAACGGCAACAAAAACCCTTCCTGGGTCTCTACTGCAATGTCTTATTTTTTTCCCCTCTTCGACCCTCCCCCACCCACACGGAGATCACACACCAGGTCGCGTGCAACGAACCTTCTCCGGTTGCTGAAGGCGCTGCGCCCCTTTAAAAAGCGGCACGCGCCACTGTGTCTCCCCTCCACCCCCCGCTCCTCTCCCAGCCCCCTCCTCGCGCCGGTCGCGTGTCTGCTCAGCCAATGGAGGGCGCCGGCAGGCGCGTGCGAGCAGCCAATCAAAGAGTTTTTACACCCGGAGAAAAGTTCCTACGTACC